TATAGAAAATTGGATGTTCCCAAGTCAATCTCCAACGAGAATTAAGCAAAGAAATAACAAACTAGGTAATGTTTAGTTAAACAAACAAGACCTTGAAACTCAAGGAAATAGATCTAGCAATCAACAGTCCACACTTTTGAAATGTAAAGATTTAACTAAATGAGTTCAGATTAAAGAAACAAGAAAAGTGAATAAAGAAAATAATCAAGAATGTATCACATCTTCTTTCTTGACTGGTATGCAACATCTCATCAATCCAAACTGAAAGAAGTTGAATGAAGACATACCATGGAGGAAAGTTATCAAATTTTTATTATTTGATTCACATTCATTCTATTTATACAGTTCAGTTTTTCTGTTTTTTTTTTTTTTTGATCAATCAGTTCACTTTTTCTGTTAAAAGAAATAAAAGGAATTGCCCCCACTTAGGACTCTTCTAGGGCCCAAACTCTAAAAAAGACTAAACAAAGTTTCTAAACAAAACAAATAAGGAAACATAATAAAATTGGGCTCTTTAACCAGTATAATCACACACACATGGATAACACTAAAATGAGTCAAGCATATAAATTTTTTTAATTAGTAAAAACATTAAATAAATAAATAATCAAAATAAAAGAAAAATCAGTGCAACAATGGGGTGTCTTCATGAATAATAGCTATGAGGTGTCTTCTGTCCATTCTCATGTGCCCTATGTATAAAGCATTAGGACCAAATCTTGTCTAACAGATCATCATCACCCAAGCCTCATCCCAACTATATGGGGCCATCTACAAGAATTCAATTCGACATGCCATTCTGTTTAATGCCATATCCTGACTATATAGGATCAGCCACATGAATTTTGTTCCGCCATTCAACTCTGTTCAGTGTCAGTGCCCTAGCATGACATTCAGGATCCATGTTCATAAGAGTCTGGCAAATACTTCTAATACCAGTTGCCAACCTGAACACAACCCTCCTTAATATGGGCTTGCGACCAGCAGTGTAAGACAAGCTCAATACTTCTCAATTGAAAACATACCTTTTCTTCCTGATTGAAAACCAGCAAAAATATTTACTAAAACAAGGGAGAAATAGATAGAAGGTGCAAGAAGTCATTTGAAGGAGAAAGGTCCAACTCCCAAGCCATACAAGTAGCAAAATACCAGAAGAATAAAACTTAACAAGCCAAGCCTTACTATTGAAAAATTGATCCTCAGTATAGATCATTTGTTTCTAACTTTCTACTCCTGCTCTAGACAAACTTTTGGAAAACAAGTCAACAGATATTGGACCTATTTCTGAACATATTAAATTAGAAACCAAAGATCTACCTCCTCCATGTTATGTTCCAAAAGCCAGGGACCATATATCAATTTACAGAGAAGAAAACATATGAAAAATAAAGAAGGAAAAAAAAACAGATTTAACATTCTTCAGCTTAGTAGCCTACATCCATGGGAGAGAGCATAAAAATTCTACTGCAACTGAAATAGGAAAAAAAAGACCCAAGCACAATGTAATCCTCTCACACAACAACACAAACACCCACTTTAACATAAACAACCATTAATAAATTTATTTACCAAAACTGACTAGAAACCATTCTAAGACAACTACATCCAAAGTACAAAACTCAAAGTTGTCAAGGTGTCTCCTATGCAAATAGGCACCCTTGGTTAAGTGCTTCACGCAAACACCATGACCTATATAAAAGCACCCATCTAGGCAACTAGGCACCTCCTAGGTGACAAAAAGCACAAGACAAGTGCCTTATTGCAATATTATTGTTTTGTCTAAGGTGGCGTTTGATAAATCTGAAAATTCAGATCTGAAAAGTTAAAAAGATATTAGAAGTGTCTGAAATCTGAAAAGAGGCATAGATGCTTTTCTACTTTTTAGAGAATCTGAATCTATAAATTTGTTTGTGTTGGATCAACCCTTTACCATCTGAAATTTACTGATTTTACTATTTTACCCCTAGAACATACTATTTGTAAATGTTGAGTTCAATTTGCATTATCTCACAAAAAATAATTTTCAACCTCAAAATAATATTGAAACAATACAAATAAAAAATAATAAATTAATAATTACTAATTAAAAAATGAAATGGTTAAAATTAAAAAAATAATTAATGACTAAAAAAAATATTAAAATAATTAATAATTAATAATTTACACAAATAAAAATTAAAATAATTTTTAAAAATTAATGAAATAATTAAAAATTACTAGTTAATAAAAATAATTAATAATTAATAAATAACACAAGTAAATTTAATAAAAAATTAAAATAATTAATAATTAATAATTAATAAAAATAATTTATAATTAAATATTTTTACTCACCGAACCACCGCTGCTACATGTTGCAGCGGTGGTGGCGGTGGTGAAAACACAGGGGAGAGAGAGAGAGAGCTGCTGCAACTTGCAGCGGTGGTGGTGGGAACATAGGGGAGGGAGAGAGAGAGAGAGAGCAAGAGAGAAGACAGGAGAGAGAGAGAGAGGTAGTTTTGACTTTTGGCCACGTCTGAAATGCATCTGAACGCGTTAAGTGACTGGCCACAGTCTAAAAATTTCAGATCTGAAAAAAGTTTTCAGACCCTATTTCAGATGCAACACCAAACAAAAGTGGCGTCTGAAAAGCAACATTTTCAGATTCAGACGTCTGTAAAGTGCAATCAAACGCCACCTAAATACTACTACAATGTGTATTAATACATCTTATTATATATTATGTATATCACTTTACATTGTTAGTTGGGACAAGGCATCACTCTACATTGTTAGAGGATTTTACTATTAAAAGAAAAGATCTGACATTTTTAAGATGAGAAAAAGAATTATAGAAGACAATAGATCTGTCACCTTGCTTACGAAGGTGACAGTTGTACTAAGTTTTCCTTAAAGATTAATGAAAGTTACCGTTACCAATCAAAAAAAATAAGAGAAAAAGAATAATAGAAGAGAAGGATAAAGAGATTTTTCCCTTCTCGCTACTCACGTGTATTCCATTCTAAGCCTCAGTATTCCAAAGACTTTACACTTATTCCTATTCAAATTTTTCACAACAGTTTATTGCTTTTTCCATTCTTGCCAAGTAGCAATATTTTTTTTAAGAAAACATGGAATTTGTATCCGCTAATATTCCCCTCTACAGGGGACTGTGACCCACTGTACTCTGTCCTCCTATTGGGTGCTGGGGAAGTTCCACTAATGTTCCCCTCTACAGGGAGACCACCCCCCCCCCTGTAGCAGTAAGTTTCTCTCCCTTGAATTTAAAACCTTTGAAATCACCTGCACCCTTCACCCTGAGGAGGAAAACAGCATCACTGAACGGGGTTAGAGGCTGCTTGTGAACCAGATCTTCAACAACTGCTGAATTCATGGTTAATCTAGCCAAATCAGCACATGCCCCTTTGGACAGGAAGATCTCATTTCAGCTTCGTCACACTGTCTTCCAAGTGAAGGGCAACAACAGGGGAAGATATGTGTGGGTTGCTTCCTGGAAGGGATCAAAAGAATCAGAGGAATTTGTATACCAGAAGGAAAGAATGGGTTTGATTGGAAATATTCCACAGAAGCTTTGGATTCCTTTAGGTGCCACCCCCTCATCCAACCAGCAAGCACCACCCCAACCTATAGCTTCTTCCTTCCCCCGTCCTACAAGACAGGAGAACCATATTATCTCAGCAGGAGGTGGGAAGTTTATCAGTATTATTCACTCTACCAACCCTTTCGGAATCTAGAGGTTAGCTTTTCCTTGCAAGAAACTGAAAGAACCAAGCTGGACAGATGTGGAATGAGGCTTAACAGTAAACCTACACTCTTCTTCCTGGATAAAGCTTGAGGCCCTTCTCTGAGTACCAGGCAGTTGGTTTTGCTGATTCTGACAAACAGCTCCATAAATGGTTGAAGTTAGGCTCCTTGTGCATCTTTGGTGGAGAGGTCTCCCTTCACAGATGGTGACCGCTTGTAAGCTCACAGGAAGATTTCTCTTCATTTTTATGGCTAGGTGATTATCCAGGGCCCCTCTTTCCACCTTTGGTCACGACATACCTTCAAGCGCATCAACAACCTCTATGGAGGGCTGGAGAACATCCACCCCTCAACAAAGCTTCTTAAAGATCTTCAGGGGGCCAAAATTAGAGTCCGTAGATGGAACCTTTATGAGATTCCCAGAGCTGTCCTTCTACATGAACGCAATGTCTGGTTTATTGTAGCCCTTGAGGTGAAGGCAGTCAACCCAGATGGGTCAACTTAACTTGGCTAGAGTCAACACAGAAACTCAACCTTGTCTGCTGAAACAAGCCCTGACCCAGACCTCTCTTCCCACCCAGGGTTCCCTCTCAACTGTAAAACCTAGAGCTTCAAATTTCAAATCTGAGATGGGTCATAATGTCCCAAGCCCACTTCCCACAAGACCTTTCAATCCCCAGACCAGCCCACTTTCCCCGAGATCGCCCAAGCCCCAGGCAGCAGCAGACTGAACTTTGACCATATCCACTAGACCCACCCTCGGAAACCTTGGTAGCTTAGATCTCCAGAGCTGAAGACGAATCAGGTTCAAAGCTGCTGGAACAAAACTATCAGGCCAAAGCTTCCTCACCGACAAAGTAAAATGTACACTGAATCCCCATATACAAGAGCATATAAAGGAAAGGTACAGCTAACCAAAGCCCAAGGATCAAATAGGGATTTAATCTTTGTTTTCTAACCCTTTAATTCCTTTATTTGTCTCTTGTAAACTTCAAGCTTTTGGTGCTCCCCATTGAAGTTGTACGAGTACTGGGGGTACCCCATAGGGTGGGACACATATCAGGGGTGGAACCATCTAAATCTGGGCCCAATGTATTATAAATCTGGATACACTGATTCCAGACCTGGACATGGACAACTTACCACCCTACAGTTGAGAAACATAAGCCAAGCCTCAATGAACCAGAGAAAATTTTGAATCAAAATGCAGCTGGAATGGGTTAATGAAATAATAAAGGATGCAACAGCACATTTACCAAAGCCAAACCAGGATCTTCTCCTCTTCTGCAAGCAGCTTCTATCTCGGGATCACCAGAATGATTGCGTGCCCAATCCTAAAACAGAATAATGTCTATAATGATCAATACCCCCATGAGAAATTTTGAGATACAGTTAACTAGCAGAAGAAAGTTACCCTAAGACGACCAATAAATATCTGGATAACAGAAGCCCCGGCTTGTGCTGCAGCTGCAGCTTGAGAGAAGCTGAAGAAGCATAATCAGATCATTGGAAGATCTTGTAATAGAGACTGATATAATATTTACTGGTCCATAGGTAGTCAACCATAATAAGAGTAAATCTTACAAAAAAAAAAGAACAAAGAACAATAAAAATATGAACTTGCAACTGAAATTAAACCCAATTTCCATATACTAAAATTTTATTGGCCCATATCATTTACTTGTCAAAGGTAACTCTATATCTTTATCAGGGTGGGGGAACAATCTTAATTCCATGAAAACAAGTAAACCATTTCAATGCTATCCATGCCAGATCGTGGCAAGAAATTGTCATTGTTTATGTAGAGGGAGGGGGGTATACCATATGCTACAAGCATCTGCACAAATACCTGTAAACAAAGGTCAAGTGTGTTTGTATGCCTTCAGACTCCAGCACCCGTGAGGCCTCTATTCCCTGAAAGGGAGGAAAATGTAATGAGTCACAGTGGGTTGAAAAAGAATCATCATCTTCCACATACAAACCCATTGCATTTGTAATGCAAGACAAATTGGTAAGATAAACAGAGCATGCACTTTCTCAGATACTTACTTGCCATGTTGAAGGAATTTTGAATAGCAGACGCTCTGGAGAGACCCCTAGCTCATTGTATAACTTCAAAAGATCATGCACCTGGAGTATAAGTCAAATTAAATTGCATCAATTTAAATAAGAGTAACCCTGTTTCATTAATAAGAACTTCAAATCCTTACAAATCTTACGCAATTTGAGGTATTTAGATAACCCCTGGATCTCACTTAAAAAAGAAAAGGCAGGAAGACAAGGAAATTCAGTAATCAATTTAATGCTGAAATTGAGTGAAAAACAATCATTTAAAGGACAGGATACAATGAACCAGTTCCCAGAATCTGTTCTTTTTGTTTTTCTTTGATCAGTAACTCAAGCATCTGCATGTAGATTTAAGGTGCAGGATAACTTAGATTATAACTGATGTCCAATTAAGCTAGACTGGATTAGTAAATATAGATCTGCACTGGTTTCAATATCAACCATAAATCATACTCCATGACATGTAATGAATTCACAGTCCGATACTCCACTTATTTTCTCCTATCATTTTTAGCAACTGAAAACCTCTTCCATTTGCTTTCGGTGAAAAGAAAGCCAACCATTTGTATTGTGCCCAGGCAGATGTAGTGGCCTGGGTCTTGTTGTATCTTTCCTCATTAAGATGAATAAAGTACTTTACCATTTTCCAAAAAAAAAAAAAAAAAAGAAAGCCAACCATTTTAGGCCATAGTTTACCATTCTAAGGGCCTGTACCTTGCAGAGGCAATGCCACCCTAAAGGTTTGTCAGAATTGTGTTAAGACTGCAAGTTACAGATCCTAAAATGTTCCTAAACAGGCAAGAAGAAATTATATCRTATGACTTTTGTAACCAGCATTACTCCAACTCAATTTTATTATATAGATGATATATTCTGGAAATTTTGCATTATGGAATGATTTGTAGAAGAATATAACAAACTCTGACCAACATTTTATTATCTGGAGGGAATTAATGAGCAACCTCATTAGCAAGGTGAGATACAACACCTCTAGCAATATGTTCTAGGAGTGCTTGGGTTGAGCACTCTATATTTTTCTGATTTATTTAGAGTATAAGTAGGAATCTTTTGATATATGATTTTGTAAGTAGTCTTGGGAATTGATATATTTTCTTTTTTCTTTGTTTTATTTTGTGTTTATTATTGCTGTTATAGAGAAGAACATGACCAGGGGTATACTCTAGGCAAAAGCCTAACTCCCAACCGATGAGAAAACATGAATGGAAAAGTGGAACAATAACTTCAAAAAAATAGTTCATTCAAAACCCTTTTGTCCCACTAAGGTCCCTAAACTAAATCAAATAAGCAAGTCTGTGTTTTAATCCAAATATGGAGGACAGAGACAGATCATAGAAGGGAGAGGCAGAGAAAGAAAACAAGGCCCAAACCAAAATGTCTTTGTTTGCATATGCCAAGCCCATCTTCATTTGTATGCGTGTACATTGTCTTATTTTCCTATTTATGCAGGAAAACATTCTCTTCATCTTGCTTGCTCTGCTATCCTGATAAATGTTTTCAAAAACTGGATTAGACCACCAAGTTGAACCAGAAAAGCAGGAACCAAACAAGCTAGTAGATTGCACTGGGAACCGGATAGCTTTCCAGTTCAATCTGGTCAGGTTTTCAAAATTAAGGGCTCTTCCCTATGACTTGATCACCACTCTCTTTAGATGGTCATTGTGTTTGACGCTTTGGAGTTGTGTTATGTTTTAGTGAATTGTTATACAGGAGATTTCTGCAAATATCTTTTCTATGCTTTCTCTGATAATTCTCTACCTCCTACTTCAATCTTTTCATAGTAGTATGTAATTTTCTAAGACAGCAATTATTCTTCCTTTTTCCCATATCTTGGATTTTCTTCTAATTTATTACTGCCAGATTCCCTATTCATTATTTCCATCATTGACCTTTGACCCTCACCAACTATATTTTTTCATGCCAATTCTCCATAGGAAAATAACCAATACCTATCTCAAAACCATTATTTTATTGTTGTGTCTAAGTTGGTTTGGCATCAGGATATACTTATTTGATCTTTGTGTAATTGCGTATCTTGTAAAATTCCCTTTCCGCCAATTTATTTTTGGGTGGTTAATATCCTATTTTGGTATAAACGTAAYGCATTTTTCTGCTTTCATTCTTTCAACTATATTCTTATTTGCATTATTGATTAAAAGAATACACTTCAGAATTAAACAATCCATGCTTGTTCCAGTTCCACAAACTTAAATGAATCAGGCTTTCACCTATAATAAAAATTTCTTTGCAATATCAAGTTTCAGACACTCTTCAAAATGCCCCAGAAAATGATACATTTCCACAATTTGCAAGGGAATGAGGAGTTCAATAACCCGTAACTATAACTATCAGAGATCAAGGATCAAATGACAAAAAATATAACAAACAAAAGCCATCAATAATTAAATATAAAAGATAAACCAGTTCCAACCAGTGCCAAGAAAAAGCAACCTCAAGATTCATAAAAACAGTGCTAAGAAAAATAAAACAAAAGAAAGAAAGACTATACATTAACAATTGCATAAATCAAGATAGACAACATTAACAGGACTCTAAATACTACAGAAATTTAATTTGTTTACAGCATCATACTAGAAACTGGAAGTGTTGATCTTTGTCAGAAGTCAAGAAATTGGTATCTACAACAACAGGTTATTTTAGAAGTACCTTCCTAATAATGCCATGAGTATCATAAGCCAGGCGAGCATCCACTTCAGTCGATACCCTACCAGGAACTAGTTTCGACAAGTCACCTCCAACATTAACTAAAGCCTGTGATCCAATAATGCTTTCCCATCAACATAGGCAAACCAAAATGAGAAACCCTTCCAGAATTTGGTCTCGATTTAATGGACAAAAACAAACCTTGTTAAGGAAGCAGGACATTCGAACGCCGGGATCTTTTTGCCCATAACACTCTGAATCCGCCAGAGCAGTTTCTACAGCGCTCTATACCACAAATCCTTGAATATCATCAATAATGAAAAAGTTGTAAAATAAAAAATAATATATAATAATAACAAAATAATAAAAACAGAAACGACACTCACCCTGAATATCGTATCCGGAAGACTGCATATGCCTAAAAGGAGCGAAGAACTGGCAGTTGCAGCAGTTGGTGGAAACCTACATTCCAAATGATTTGCAGAAACATGAGAATAGACCAAATTTTCGTAATATCACCTTCAAAGAATAGCATTCTAAAATAATATGAAGAACGAGAAGAGGAATACTAAATCATGAAATTACTTCTCGAAATCATCGAAAATGACAGTATCTGGAACGATCTCACTGAAGCTCGAAACAGCATCTAATTCAGTGCTCAAACCTGCAAAATTCAGATAAAAAGGAATCAAAACCAGCCCTCACGATTAGAAGCTCGGATCTGCTGGAACGACAGAAGCATGGCAGTAGATGCACAACCAGTCTCGATAGATGAAGCATTGCTGCTTGAAGCACGGAGCTGAGGGTATGTCCTGTGAAGCTTGAAAATAAAATTCGCCGTAGAAGATCGAATCGGAAAGCTGCAATTCCCCTCCTGTTAAACCCCAAAAAACAAGTTGTTTGAGGAATAAAGCCCGAAAGAACTGAAGATAACAACAATAACAATTAAGAGAAGCGAAGATGACCTGAAGAGGTGAGACGGCGAAGAGAGCCGATGAAGTAGAAGGCAAGGAGACTGACATTTTGGCGAGAGATTGAGAGTAGAGAGTTGAGAGACAGAGAGCGATGAACGAAATTCGAATTCAAGAACGTATACGGTCTGATGAGAGAGCTAGCTCAGCTCAGCTCTGGCCTCTGTAGCAGTAATGGATTTAATAGAGCGGACAGCGGAAGAGATTAGTAAGGTTGTTTTTGTAAATTGAGCCGGAGATAGATTGTTACTTGTTAGATTGGATTGGATATTTTACTTTTTTTATTTGATGAGTATTGAATTGTTTTGGGCAACTTTTTTAAAGAGAAAATTCTCGATAGCTGTACTTTTAGGCTGAGTGTCATGAAAAAAAGATACAAATGCCCTTAAAGTATCATTTAATTTTCTTTACCAACCATCAGCAACACCTGTGTAATAAATGCCCTTCCCGATTTTTCTTTCGAAGACTGATGAGGGCTGAGGTTCGTTTAACTCAAAGACTGATGACTCAATGTTTCTCGTTGCCCTAAACTACTGTTCACTGCCATTGTTTATCCTCTTCAAGCTCTCGAACAGCGGCAGTGCATAACGCTCCCCACAGTCATTATTCTTCCTTCCTTTTTCTCCTCTGTCTATTCTCACATATCTCTCATTCCCTCTTCACTTTCATCGTTCTCTTCCTTTTTCTTTCTTTGCTATTCATCACCGTTTCTGACAAGAAACAGAGGAGTTGCAGCGGTGAAACTCCTCTGTTACTCTCATTCGGTTAACCCCTTTTGGCACAAACCCAATCGATACCCAACCCCATTCTACTCCCCATCGATCCCCTTAGTATTCCACTGCTTTCAACCTCTCTCATCCCATCGGCCCCATCCTCTGTAGCTTCAGCATTCAAACAGGAAAGATCGACGTAGCAGTCATACAGATCTTACCGGTTGAAGAAACTCAATCCCGCATCTCACCTTGCTCCAGTGAGCCTGTAATCTCCCGCGAAGTTATATCTGCTCGCAGGCGAACGGCCCGAAGCAAAAACTGGTCGAACCTCCTCTATTTTTCTGTATACATAATCCATGGAGTAGATTTGGTCACTGCAATTTGTTGGAACTCCCGACGGCACACTCACGTTAACACCATGAGGCGAAATGGTAGACGAAGACTCTACTTGGAACGTTGATCCAACTGAACTGCCACCAATATTTGATTGCATTGGCATAGTAGGACCAGTGCTCGGTGGTCCTTGTAGCCCAGTCTGTGCTCCCGGCCYTGATCCAGCAACCCCTCGCTGCTGCATGTAATAAGATGCAGATCCAGACAACGTCATGGCTTCTCTCTCATCTATGCATTTAATTAAAAAAATAATCGCAAAAACGCACTTCTGCTAAAATAGAAATTTTAAGCTTTATTTGCCCATATATTACTTCTTCCAACCATGGATCTGTGGCTCTTCAGGAAACCCAATCGATTGTGTGAGCTCACAAACTGCATTCACAAAGACGAAAATGCAATTGGAAAAAATCAAAAACCCCAAAATTTTAGAGTCTGTCAACAATTCTGCTCAAAGGAGGAAACAACTTAATACATCCTCAGATTAGATTTAAGAAGGTTTTGTGAGAACCAAAGTTTCGAGTCATAGACGCTAAACGGCCGAGCGTCATAGTCTGGACCGTTGAGAGCTTGGGTTCTGTATCAAGGAGATGATGAAATGTGTTTTATTTTTAAAGTTAATTATGATATTTTCAAAAGTATTAAAGTGTACAAGAAGGTTACTTGATATACATAACTATCCTTATTTAAATTAGCACTCAGCCTATCGGGAATTTTTCCTTTTTTAAACTATCCTTACTGTTTAAGTTAATTGAGTAATTATACTATTTAATTATTATC